AATTTTGTTGTATTGTATTGAAATGTTTCAGAAGTTGATTATAAATTCTCTAATAGTTCCAGTTAATTCTTAAAATCTTTAAGGAAATATGATTTTAACTGCTCTTATGCGCGCTAAACCACACTAAGCTTATAGATTATGACCCAATTTAAAATTAATTACAATAATATGAATTGTCGTACATAGGGTTTTTTTTTAGGTTCTGTCAGAAGTTTGGCCTCTCTAAAGACCTACCTTCTTTTGATATGTGTTTCGTCTTTCCACTTTACGATATTAAGGATTTTAGTCACTTTACGTTACCTATTGCTATTATTATGTAGCCAGTAAAAATCTCTTTTGGGAATGCTGAATGGTATTTGGTCGTCGAAATCGCCGAGTAGTTCAGTTACGTAGTCCCGACCGTTCTTGGAATCATGTATCTAAAGTACTTGTCATTGGTTTACCATACAAAAATACATTTTTCATACTTTCCGATTCGATTCTAATAATATTTTTGACTCATTGTACTGTCTATGGTTTAAGAAACCTCAAAATGTTTTTGATTTGTAGAACATTTTCTAGATCACTATTATTCTTTACCATAAAATTTCGTTCTCTATTCAGATAAGCGCGAAGCGAAAAAATCACAGATTTAATTCAAAATTACTTGCCCAAATATATCTTTAATTATTTTTATATGTTCATAGACCTAAATACAAGATAAATTTTCTTTCCAAAATAAGAACAATCAATATTATTCATAGGAATATTATCATTATCACAGAATCTACTTGAACTAGTACAAACCTGTATCTATTTAATATCACGACTATTATTGTTTGTTTTTAGATTGATAGCCATGCTTTGCTTTCAAAGTGAAAAATAAGCTTGAACATAATATGGGTTTAAGTAAATTGATGACGGTAGAAGCTATGATATTTCGAAATCGAGCCCCCTAATTATTTGGGTATCTCTCACCTCAACTAGGCTCTTGTACAGAAAACAATTTGAGGACAGCATTAAATATAAAATTGAATATCAAAAATGGCATTACTCTTAAGGTAGACCCTTGAATCATAACGAAGCAAGCAAACATTATCTGCACCCTCTTTGATGGTAGAAAGCGTATCGCTAGAAACTCTTATTGTTAGGTAAGGATGACATTACTTTACTCACAACAAAAATGAATAGTACTGGTGATAATATTATCATTACCATTACCTGAACCCAGTCACCACCCTGGTTTTGATAGCATACCATTGCACAATGTCAGAAATTCAAACCGCTTGAAATCTTTTATGAGATTTTCGACCAATTTCAATATAACCTATATTTCTCTAACATACTCCAAAGAATAATTCTTTTAAAAAAACATTTTAGGACCTAATTTAATTAATATGGACTTATGTTCGATATTTATAACTTTGGAATATATGTTATATGTGAATTATTGTTATTGCGATCAAGAGAGGAACGCGTGACTTCACGAAAGCAAAATTATAAACAACCATCCAATTAGTTATCAAAATCTATAATGAATTGAAAAAGTGAATTCTTAATAAAGTAGTGAGATAAATTTATATATATCGGTTGTTTACGATAATAAATAAATACAAATTTGAAATTATTTAAAATTTATTAATATATAATAATCACTTATAAAATATTTATTAAGCATATGACACGGAATATTACCAAGTAGTAGTTAATAAGGAGCTACTTCCGATCTTCTACTTCTTATTAATACAGGTGCATAAATAATATTTATTATGAAATAATTTATTATCAAATTTTATTTCTGAATAATATTTATTACCTTTCCGGTTTTTTTTCATTTTAAGAACTCGGAATTCTTCCTGTTATAAAACCTCAAACTGCTTAGTGTATATAAAGTAAACAATGAAAGGAGTTAAACTAAGAATTTCAAAACAATTTATCAGCTCTACAGGTATTTTCTTAACACTCACCTACAACCTAACAAAAATCCTCCATATACACCTGAAAAATTGTATCCGAAAATTCAGTAAACAGTTTCCGGTTTAATGGATACAATACCAGAACACAACCGAAAAGGATTAAATAATCGAAGAACCACCAAACAACGTCAAATGTGTTACACACTTTGTAAATTGTCTCATTTGTGGCTATGAAACATGAGGACCACATCAAATTTTCTTGCTCAGTTTTCAAAAGAAAGGGAAATCACAGCACGGCTACTGTAAATGACAAAAAGCAGACTCAGTCACTTTCCAGTCATAAACATACAGAATCGATGGAGAAGTTTTTTTTCTACTTTTTTTGACATAAAATAAAATATTTGAAAAATGATCTTGTAATGCTGTTGAATAATTTTAAAAAATGCCGGCGGTCTTTTGCTTTTATCCTAACCGCGTTGGAGATCGTGTGATCTTGCGCACTTCTGTGTACGTACAATACCGGGCGCAGTATAGTCTCTTTGAGAGGAAGAGAGTATGTGTGTGGCTTTATGACTGTATTTTGTAATGAGTACTCAAAATAATTTGCTTCGGTTTAAAGCATAACGGAATTGACAACCACGCCCACTCATATTATTACCATTATTATGATGTGAACTAAAATATTCATACACGCTTCATGCACAATTTATGAGCGGCACTTTTGACACTTTCGACGCTTTTGACAATGATGAGCCCTCAACCAATCATTTTCCATATATCACAAGATTGTCAAGATTGTATAATTCTCGCACAAATGTCATAAAATTGTGACCATTAAATGGCGGATGAATAACTTGCATATCCGTGGCAGTACATGCTGCTCTCCTAAGGAATATTACATCACATTGTTGCTCTAATATATTCGTATGTATTTATATACATACATACCATATCATACATATTTTCTTTATTATATTGTAAATGGAATATTCGAATATTCGAGTTATTTTATTTGATATTAAAATCTTAACACCTTCAAATCGAATCTTACGCTCTTAGCTGGTATTTATCACTGAATGCTAATAAATTTTAATAGTAGCAGTTTTATATCTAAATAATTTATAGTCTATCTATGTTTAGTGAACATCTTTGGGAACATCTTGTTCGGCGATATTCATATACAAATTCGTTATGCTTCTTGTGACGTTTCAATTAATTTTCAATGGCGCATTCCACCAGCACAGCCTTCGACGACACATATAACACACATAACACACATAATTCGAATAGGTTAATATATTTTTATGAATGGCTTTTCGCCTCTTGAATAGACCCCTCTTTTTGTGTGCATATTGTTAGCTCATTCCGATTCAACTGAATGCCTAATAAACTTCACGGCTGCCTCTGATGTGTCAAACGCATTAAAATGTTGTTGCGTCGTTAAAATTGGTGGCCAAATTGGTTTTGCTTAACTAGTCAAGTGGAAGTACATGTGTAGATACATAGGTTTATAGTTTTTTTCTTTTGTGCTTAACAGATGTTTATACGTCCTGTTTTCCACACAAATATATAATTCTACTACAAAACGTTTGGAATCTAAAAGCATTTTCTTTTTAGATTAGGCAATCATTTCTCATTTGCAAGTTACACTTAACTTTAATTGGACGATAAAATTGAGTGCTAAGTGAGCTTTCAGTTTCTCGAAAGGAGTTTCGGTATAAATAAAAAGAAAAATTTCATTGTAAATAACGAACAGTGACCTGATATGTCGAATATTTTCTTTATTGAACACTAAGAATATTTCAATTTAAATGGGGTTTTAAAAGAATATAGGTCATGCAAGAAATGATAAATGGCACGATGATTAATGGATCAAGGGAACCTCGAAACTTTATATTTAAAAACTTATAAATGTCTGTTTAAATAAATCTTCAGTTAAGGAACTAGTTTTTAGTATACGATATCGACATATTGTGAAAACAATATATCGCGACATACTTTTCTTCCTTCTATGAATTCTGTAATTCATAGAACGAATTGAATTCTAAGCACGCTTGTTAGTTTTTGTAATTGTCCTATAACTAAAAGCAACTATATTAGAAACCTAATAAAGTATGTATTGTAGTCTAATCGGTACCCTATTCGTAAGTCTAGCCGGTAACATATTAGATAGCTTATCGACAGATAACGTGACTTTCTCATATATATATAACCCATATTAAATAACCATTAATTACTTTAATTGTCAATTAATTCATTATTAACTGCCATTGCATTTAAGCGATTCATGGAAGAATTTCTTCATTATTTCTTGAGAGCTACGGGAACAAAATGACGTTTGTCCCTTTTTTCAGAAAGGAAGGAATCTCGTAAGGAACCTAAGAGTCACAGTAAAGTTCTATGAAACAATACTGCTTGTATACTGACTTAAAACGACAACACATGTTCTGCGGGGTATATAAGTTTTTGCCCTTATAATTCCGAATAGTTGCGTAAAGTAGATATATTGCTGAACCACTCTTACCATTATCGACCATTATAAGAGGTCCGATGGAATAATTTTAAGAATTTTTTAAAAACAGAGAAGATGAAATAAAACTCTACTGTAAGAGCTGTCATAATTAAGCAGTAATGGTCTAATCGATAGTCTAGTCGACAACATAGTTGATAGTCTAGTCGACAACATACTCTATAGTCTAGTCGACAACATACTCGATAGTCTAGTCGAATACATACTCGATAGTCTAGTCTTATATAAAGTCAATAGTCTAGCAGATAAAACTAGACTTGACTACACTAGAGCTTGACAGCTTAATCGATAATTTAGTATGCAGCCTAATCTTCCACCTAGTTGGCAGTATCATCGACAGCCTATTTGAAAGATCAGTCGATAATCTGTTATACTACATGATCCTAAATAAGCTAACCAAAACAACTCACTAATCTACAACTCATATTAAGTTATTGTCAATTATTTAACACTAAGTCACTTTATAATTACTGTAAATAATAGAATAACTAATGCTGTAAAATTTCGTTTCCATTTATTTATCTAATTTAAAAATTCATAAACATTTTTTAAAATAATATACTTTTTTATTTAAGGTCGTGACTCTGACTTGAGTGATACAGAATCAGAGCCTGGTATACCATTAAAACGAAAACAGCGTCGTTCTCGTACAACTTTCACTGCGGAGCAGTTGGAAACATTAGAGAATGCCTTTAGACGTACACAATATCCTGATGTATATTCACGCGAGGAATTAGCGCAAACAACAGGTCTAACCGAAGCTCGTATACAAGTATGGTTTAGTAATCGAAGGGCGAGATTAAGAAAACATTCAGGTGGAACTAGTGCTGGATTATCACCGATGAATGGTGGTAGTGCTGGTTCAGCAGCTATAAGTGGTAGTGCCGCTTCAGCGCAACTTGGATTTGGTTCATTGGCAATGGGTTCTATGGCTGGCTATAGCCCAGCTGCTGGTACAACACCAAGTGCCGCTATGAATGATAATCATGGTGGACATCATCACTCACATCATCATGGTCAAATGAGTAGTTATGATTTAGTAGCACAATCAGCACAACATGGTTTTCCTGGCAGTTTTCAACATGGACATTTCGGTGGTCAAAATTATTATCATCAAGGTAAATAACATTATCTGTTATTACTTTATTACTAAATATATATAATATATTTTTATAATCCTGTATAGATTATTCCAAACTTACAATTGATGATTTCTCAAAACTGACAGCTGAAAGTGTTTCGAAAATTTCACCTTCAATTCATCTGGGTGATAACTTTCCAAAATTGGAAACGGCACCGAATTGGTCTCAAGCAGCATATCATCTAAACCAATCGGCAGTGGCCGCTGCTAATTACAATGCGGCAGCAGCCCATCATCATGCCGCCGCACAACATTCACTTAACGATTACGCTGCTGCTGGTGCCGCTCACACTAACCAGCTAAATAGCGCAGCCGTTGCCGCCGCTGCTTACAATCATACGCTGCCCGCTCAAGGTCAGTCGGGAAAATATTGGTCATGAAATTCCGAAATGACTCTCTGTACAGTTGCAATTTCAGTAATTTGATTTTTATTACATTTTAATTTAAGCATTTAATTACGAATTACGTACGTGTACATATGTATTCTATTGTATTTATGTCTTATTCTGATTTCTTATAGTATTCTTATAGTATAGTATATAGTATATATAGTATATATAGCCGTATATTCGAATACATTAAATTGTATTTATGTACACTTAAATAAATTATTTGTTTCACATTTTGACTGCAATTGTAAAATATTCTTAGAAGTATTTAGGGAAACCTATTAATTTAAGTATTAAAATTTTTTATTATTTTTAAATATTTTCGTTTGGATTCTCGACTTCGTTCGAGTCTTCAATACAAAATAGTTTTTATTGTAAGAAGCTTTGGAGCGAGAATGAACACGGTTTGCATGTATATCATATATATCTGACCTTGAATATAAAATAAATAAAGTAAATTTATTTAAAATAATGAATTTCAACAATTAAAACTTAATTGCATTTTGTTGTCAATAGCTTAATGAGCCATAATTGAACCATTAGCTTTGAAGATCGTCGTGGTGAAGTTGCACCCTTGATTTATGACTGGGGTTTTGACTTCAGTGTCATTGTGCTTGGATCGATTAGTAACAACTATTAATTGAAGATATTTGGCTTTGAACACATGGTTAACAACTTAATTATAAATTTAAAAACATTACTATTTTCTCCTTCAAATGTTTAAACAATATGCATGTTGCTTATATTAAGTTTCTTTCGCCTTTAAGCCTAATTATTTTTATCAGTGATTAAATATTTTACACAATTTGAACAATAGTTTTTTCTAAATAATAATTTCTAGAAAGATTACATAGACTTGTTTACAATACAAAGTTCCATTAAAACAGAGATGCATAAGTGAGGAAAAAAGTAATTGATCTAAAATATAGATTATTTTATGTCTCTTAAAAAGTAGTCACATACCATGTCTAAATAGTTTGCAAGGTATGTGCCAAAATTGAATCACATTTTGATATAGATTTTGAAGCCAAATATTAAAAGAAGTTTCAATATGCTAATTAAGATTCACTTTATAGCAGGTAATTATAACATAGAAATTAAAAATGGTATAATTAGAATAATGGTTTCTACTGACTTCGTTAGACCAATTTACTTTAGATTGCTTGAATAACTTGAAGTTAACAAATTTAACGAAGCCTGTTGCACCGTACTATAACTCTTAACTTTTACTATAATTCTCAACCTGCTGAAACCTGCTCCCAACTGGAGAAGACAAACCGACACGGAAATATCACACATGCGAAAAGGTTGGGGAGAGTTGAAGCTATTGGCCACCAATCGTACCGAGTGGAAGTTATTTGTTGCGGCCCTATGCTCCTCCTAGGAGTCAAAGGATTATATATATGTATAACTATTCATCCAGAAAAAACTGTCATTATTTATTGACTTGTTGAAATTAATCGCAATGACAATGAACACCGATAATATCCAAATGTTATGATTAAACAAATAAAATTTTGACTTCGAAAAGACTAAAAAAATTTGAAAATTTTCAAATGATTGATTGAAATTACAAGAGTTTACAGACATCGCAAAGATATCGAAAAAATCTGTAGGTTATATTTTACATAAACACTCGACGATAAGTAACTAGTTAGTTTAATAAGAATAAACTGTGGATGGAACATTGTCATCATACACCAAAGAAAAACTCAGCTGAATAAACCGCACCCCACAAAAGAAACAATAAATGGCGCAAAACTAGGCGGAGAATACCGATTAAAAGGAAAGAGCCCTTTTCGAATGTTATACATTGTGACCGAAAAGTTTTCGGAAATTCTCATTTAAAATTCGCGCGCTGTATATTTTTCGATATTTTA